GGAAGAAAATTAAACCACGCAGGACTGATGCTGGGTACGTTTAGGGGCAGAGTTCAGTGAATTATTGATATCCACCAAACCACCACTGAGTGGTGGAGTCCTCATTCGTGGTACAGGTAAACTTGGGATTTGTGCGGTCGTAAAACCCAAAGTTATCTTCACTTGACACGGAGCTAACGGTTGGATCAAACTGGCAACCCTTACTGGCGCTGTCGATGTGCAGAAAGTACGTGCCGACAACCTGCCAAAATCTGGCTGTCTTGTGTATTCCAATGTGACCACGGATGTTCACAAGTTCGGTCTTCAGACAAATACCTGAACCGAGGAAAGCGAGAATATCAGCCGCCGCAAACTGTCCACGGACATAATCTTTGTATTGGTTGATACCGTACTTGTCAAAACTGCATGTAGCCCGCCAATGGGTTGATACGTGTTTTAAGGACTTCATTCGGTCAGATGTCAGTCGATAGAGGAACCAGTTTGGCGAATTTTCGTTAACCGGATCGTTGACTGAGAGAGGGGAGCTCCTGTAATTACGAAGAAAATGAAATTGCATTATTGTGTGCAATAAAACAAAACTAAAAATACATATTCCACAGTACATCTCTCCAAGCTGGTATAGGGACGCTTACTCTCGTATTTCTTGGCATAGATATAACATCAAGTTTTAGTAAAAACTCTTGCCCACTCGTTCAAAGTCCAACGGAAACTCTTTCGTCTGATAAATGTGATACATTTGTATTTAAAAATAATCATTTGCGGGTAATTGTTTAAACTTAAGCTAATAACACATTTAAACCGTAAAGGTCTTAACTTTCTGTTTAAAATACAAGCTTTTTCCGAGTCTCTTTTACCTTTTATATCCCATATTTTGTAAAATTAATTTTGGAGGTTGTGACATTTTTAAAAATTGCTGTTGAGTTCTTTTCTCCTGGATCTGGTTCAGTCATCTAAGATCACTGGGATGATGGTGCGTCAAAGGAGCTGCTGAATCCCCCCTGATCGAGGATTTATCAGTTCTTTTGATTCACTAAGGTCCGAGTGATTTTAGGTCATTGATCCTGCCCCGCATCATCAAAAGAACGCACCAAAGGAACAAATCCTTGATGGCAATCTACGGATTTATTTAAAGAAAAAAAATGGGGTGATCATGATGACATAATTTCCATATGGGAGGCGTTAAAATTGCATACATGCCTCAGTTACACATACAATTTTCACTACAACATCTCCTATACTTTTCATTGAGATAGAGAGTGGCTGCCATTCTATTAAAAAAACAGTTTAAGGAACTCTTTAAGTTAGGCAGAGTAGGCTTAGTAACAATGCATAAAGGACAGTTAGAGTTCACTACTACTTCACCTGCCCGCTACTCATCTTAAAACGAGAGACTAGAACGATCGCTCTACCTGAAGCTCGAGAATCCCTTATTTTTCACGCTCCAAGATACAACAAGAGTCCATGCTGCACCAGGCTCCGTCTCCAAATCACAGTACACAGTGAATCCATTTCCAACAGTATCATAAATCTTGTAGTAACCACAGCGGTTGGCGCCATTCTTTAGATGATCCACGCAAGACCGTGGTTTGATGTTTGATTTGTTCACAGGGCACAGCTTTCCCTGAAATCACAAGCACATTATCTCCGATTTCGAACATTCTAGGCAAACATTAAGATGGGACAAAACTCAGATTCCCATTCTGATCACAGCAAACGAGTGGCTGCTTCTCTTGGTAGCAATATAAACGTATTAAACGTACCAATGTGTTGGTGTGATTTAAACTTGCTAGTAACTAGCACGAGGTTTCCTCGAGGCCGTGACAGTATAAGTCAAATGGAGGGAAGTCCGAACATAAACGACCGAAGACAAATATATTCTCGACTGTCCACGATCTCTGGCGAGTAAGATCACTAACTGGTATATGAACCACATGTTTTTACTTCGAGTGTTGATTGGTTCATCAAAATCAGTCTGTGTTCTTTGTGATCGGCTGGAGTGATTAATTGCAAAACTGCTCTATGAAACATGAAAGCAATTACGAAAAACAATGTTGCAAGCGAGCTGCGACTGATTAACCACAATCAATGTTCTTGTAAAAATGCCATTTTAAAATACAAGGCCTTGTCTATTTAAGATTTTCACTGGTGTCCTTTCACTGTAACGAAGATTTCCAGTCGCACATGGAAGGTTTTAATTTTTTTTTCCAACGATTTTCAATACGGTTAACATTTTTCTTAACATCCGTTGAAGATTTCCAACCATTAGCGGAATTTTCCCGCTAAATCAAACTTCCTTGTCATATGTTTCCGCACAAATTTTGAACATTTTCCAATATTACCGAGGACATAATTTTTTCCCTTTTTCTCTATTAAGATTTTATAAATTGTACATATCTTTATTTCCCAGGACACCAGTGGATACCAGCCTCACTGCTGAATGGGCTACCCTGGTAAATTATAGTTACTTACTTACTAACTGATGCCTTTTAAAGAGCAGAAAAATTTGTCCTGTAAAATTAACAGCAAAACTGGCGTCTTACTTTACAGGCAGAATCCTCTTTAAGTCCCGCGTCCATTTTGTTAGGATCATCCTTAGGCGTGTTGGTCTTTCAAAATAATAATTGTGAATACAAATTAGCAGAAAATTCGAAGAGCAAATAAGGCTAGTTCTACAGAAATGGATGGATAGGAAACATGAAGGACAACAGTACCGATTTCCCATGGCAAATAGCGACCAAAATCAGCAAAACAACAAGGCAGAGTTGCATGGTGAAACTGCCACGGTGTTAACTTAAAAGCACTGAAAAATAAAGACACTTCGTTAATGCAAGAGTGGCATACATCCAATTTGGTCTTATTAAACTGATACGCCATACAGAGTGATAAGCCATGTCTGGTGAAGCAGAATGTTTGTTAACACCAGTAAAACAATCACATAACGTGAAATTTATGCTTTTTATAAGAAACGTTCTTCGGTTTGACGAAGATGCCTTTTTTTATTTCTTATATGCGTCATACAAATTTCGTTGCGAACAAATTGGCGGTGTTTAACAAACCTTTTTGTTCGAATTTTCACTCAAACTTTTAAAAAATATATTTTTTATTAACTTGCTGTACATACAAACAGTAATAATGATAAAAAATAAGGGAGAAGGTAGTTTCCAAATATTATATCTAACTTCAAATGAGTCATCTTCGCGCGGAAAAAAAGAAAAGAAACATTTAAATCATGCCGAAACATGTTTCGTGCTTTTTAAAATGTATAACCTAATTTAGACATTTCACTTTAAAAAAACTTTCTTTTTCACTTGCCTGAGATAATAACGTTCAGCAGGAAACGTTTGCAGGGCGTTGCTCTCCGAAGTCTTACGCTGAAACTGATAGCTCATTCTCAGCTATGGGCTTTAAGTCTGGCAGTTAAGTGCAGCTGAAAGCATATTTACAAAGCCGTGAGAATATTTTTTTTAAATAACCAAAGTGAAAGCTGTCTCTGGTCAAAGGCCGTTAATAAACTGGATTCGGTTTTATGGATGCGATTAAACGAAACTTCATGATAACCAGTATTCTTAGTCAATATGCTAAAATCATAGTCTGCAGTAAGTGTACAGTTACGAATGCTAACTTGCGAGCATGATGCTTTTTAAGACAACTACTCTTTATCCATGTCTTTGCGCTGAGTAAATATACATTAGAGTAAGTATATTGATATCAACAAAGCTTGTTTATGCACGGAAGCTAAATTTAGGGCTTTATGCAACGTAATTTTTGTGAGAAAGTTATGTTGGACTGTTGTACATACTGGAGTCGGCGAAACTGTGTTTGTGATGTAAACCTAGAGGAAGTGTAGATATGTGTTATATTCCGAGCTGCCATAAGCTATTGATGTTTGCCTTTAAAGTCACTTAGGCAAAAACGTAAAACAAATACAACTTAAAGACACTTTAAAATTAGTTATTCCATGTAGATTAATATAAACAAGTCGAATCAAAATAAGCATTAGGCATATTTACAGGGTTAATGACCAGATAAACAAAGTTTAAAGCAGCTGGCGAAAAGCATACAAAGCGAAAAGTTCTTCCTAGGTTCACCAACGCTCTCTCTGATAAAGGTGCTTACATAGGTTAAGTGATTTTAACGTGATTGTTTTCACACCAATTGACGATTGTCAATTTGTCGATTCTGTGATTATCATTCAAGTCAACCACTAAATCCTCCATGAAGGACAAACAGACAGTGTATGCTGATTTGGACAAATACGCCGCATATTGCCTATTAGTTAAAATACTTCTGAATAAAAAGCAGATAATATTTTTGAGATGATTTCTGCAGTGCCACAAAACATATATTTGGAACGCATTCCTTTAACCGTGTTTTCAGTAAGACTGGAAACTATTTGAGAAACGTGAAACTATTTGCACGGGAAATTGTGCACCTGCTGTGATGAAGATCGCGCGGACAGTATTTTCGATGCTTTCCGATTTCATCTGACAATTCACTAAAAGCCACTTAGTTTTTTGTTTCTGCGCAAAAACCGAATGGTAGTATTACTATATCAAAGGCTTGTCATTCATGTCAGCCAGTAGATCCATCGTTGTAAAAGCTCGCTATAGAAAACATCTCAGAAACATAACTGTTATTGTAAAAGCTCTTTTGCAAAAGGCTGCAAATTCAGACGATCTGTTTTGGGATCATGTAAAATACGAGAAAACTTAGGCAAAATGCAAATAACAAAAATATAGTGATAAAATAATTAGGCAACGCCAGTAAATGCAAATAGATCAAATCAAACTAACGATTAAGCCCCGGCCAAACGATCGCAACATTTCAACGCAGCATATCGCAACATTGTTGGCCCAGCATTTGCAAGCTCCGGCCAAACGATCGCAACATTTCGGCACAACATATCGCAACATTGTTGGGCGAATCATGTTGCGCACGTTTGGCCACCCTGTTGCGACGCGTTGCGATATGCTGGGTATTGAAAATCGAACTAGTGCGTATGCACTGATGCAATAATTGTTGCACGAACCTGGCCAAACGACTACAACCTTATGCAACATCCACAAATGTTGCATGAAAAATTTGACCAGTTTCAAATTTAAAGCCTCGGCCCAACGATCGAAACATTTCAACGCAACATATCGCAACATTGTTGGGCGCCACATGTTGTGCGCGTTTCGCCACCTGTTGCGACGTGTTGCGACATGTTGGGTGTTGTTGGCTCAAATTTGAAATGTTGCACCCGACGGGCATGCGCACTAGTTCGATTTTCAATACCTAATATGTGGCAACACGTCGCAACAGGGTGGCCAAACGCACGCAACATGTTGCGCTCAGTAATGTTGCGATATGTTGTGCTGAAATGTTGCGATCGTTTGGCCAGGGCTTTAGGTTTTAGTCACAGAGTTAATTTTCAAACTTCATTTTCAAACTTGAGCCAGCAACACCCAACATTTCGCAACACGTCGCAAAAGGGTGGCTAATGTTGGGATGAAATGTTGCGATCGTTTGGCCGGGGCTTAAAACTGCCTCACTGTCATCTCTTATCTTCCAAGATAAAACATTTGCTTTAAACCCCAGTTTTCATCAAGCCAACATCAGTTTAAAATATCAAATGGACGTGCTGCGTCAACATTGTCGGGTTAATCACATCGTACAACATACGGCAGATTCAAATGACTCAGTCTTATCTGAAAATGCAGACCTACACGACTTCACGCATCAGTTAAAAAAAAAAAAAAAAACGGAGAACATCTATAGGTAAAAGCTCAGTTCTCAGACGTTTTCTTTGATAACGGTGTTAGAGTATTGAATTCTACGTGATTATAGTGTGAAATTGGCACATCAATAGTCGAGTGTAATTATCAAATTTGTCAATTGTGTGATAATTAGCCTCTAAATCCGTCAGGTCATAAAGGGCAAACCTACACACATTTAGAAAAATATACCGTTTATTGTCCAATACTTAAAATACTTATCAGTGAAAGTAGATTGTATTTTAGAAGTAATTTCTAAGGTCGATATTGAAATTATCTTAGAATCACATTACTGTTAACGCTCTCTTGGTAAAGTCTGCTAGTTGGAATGAGTTGCATTGGAGACCATGCACCCGCTGTGATGTTATTCTTTCCCAGGGCATTTGGCATCTAACTTGAAAGCCAATTAGCAAAAATCAGCAAAGGAAAGATTCTATATTACAGGGGTAAACTGGATTTATACCGTTTCATTCTGACGCTCGCCACCTACCCAATCAAGTGACTGTTAGAATGACATTGTTATCACAGCTTAGAGTAAAATACACTTGTTTCGTCGATGACTTAACCATCCATTTTAGATCACCCACTCTATAAGGCCAATACGTNTAGCTATTCTGGACGTATGTCTTTGTAATATGTGTGCAAAAAAAGCCAACGAAAAAAACCTACACTTTGTTAGTTAAGTGCGACCTTGCATGGTACAAACCCGGCTTGTTTTAACAGCATTTGATAATACACCAGTAATTGGAAGTTCACCAATATGTTTCATCTCTAGATTACTTAATCCACGAGTTTGGCCATAGGTCTCCTTTGATTTAATTTTCAGGCTGCATTTCTCCTCGTTCGTCCCCCTTCCCAAGGCATTTTCCTGTTTACAGAGATGGCAAAAAGTCATGAAGTTTTTATTTGCACGACAAAAGGGGCGCTGAAGGACGTCCTCGACGTTTCTAATTTGGCAGAAATTAGAAATGCTCACCATCTGAAAACCGATACAATCCCTCCTCTAAAGTTACCATACATATAAACATGATTTGGAATAAAACTGTTTGAAATTATATTCTTTGCGGCCCATAATAATCAGGTTTGATGTCAATTTTAAGAAAATCCGTTTTAATACACGATCAAATTGACTTTACTCTGCTGTAGTCGTAACGTTTATTTACTTTTATCACCCCTGGATTAAACTTATTACATGATGAAAATAGCAACGGCAAACTGAAGTATCCTAGCAACCCTTCTCTTAAACGGTACATAAGTAGCACAAAGTTAGAATCTCGGCATTCGGCGTTTTTGCATTATAGATTTCGCTCTCTAAGTAAAATTTGCCCTCGATAGAAGGGTAAATTAAGAAATAATGCTCTTTGTCCTCACTATTTTTTCAGGTCTGTTATAAACAGTATAATTGGCCTGCAGTTACGTGAGTAGACATATACTGATTTGATCTAACAAGTTTAAATACGCCAGGTGTTACGCCTAATGTTCCGTGAACTATTGATATCCACCGAACCACCACTGAGTGGTGGAGTCCCCATTCATGGTACAAGTGAATTTTGGATTTACTGTGTTGTAATACCCAAAGTTATCTTCACTTGACATGGAACCAACAGTTGGATCAAACTGGCAACCTTTAAAGGAGCTGTCGGTGTGTAGAAAGTACGCGCTAACAACCTGCCAAATCACCCACTCCATAAGGCCAATACGTAATATTTTACCAATCCACGCTCTGAAAAGCGTTTTGGTAATTTTAATTTTCCGTAAGCGGGAAATTTAAAGAGTAAAATTAACTCGACACTTTCTAAATTAATGACAATCTGTTCAAATCGTTTATTCCTAAGTTTACCATATACAGAGATACCAACCATCTTATGTGCACGATTTCACAATTTTGGAAACTATTCGAACAATAAATTTGATATCACAAGCTTCACAGCCAGTCAGAGGAAGATTTCAAGTTATATTTTTACACACAAGATCACATCGTTGTTTCCTATGGCAGTTTAAAAGTCTATTCCCTTTTTCACACTTTGCTTTATCTTATAACATGATTATGATAGCAAATTAAAGGCACATTGACTACTCTCTCTCTCTCTCTCTCTCTCTCTCTCTCTCTCTCTCTCTCTCTCTCTCTCTCTCTCTTAACCAACTACGTAGGAAGAAAATTAAACCACGCAGGACTGATGCTGGGTACGTTTAGGGGCAGAGTTCAGTGAATTATTGATATCCACCAAACCACCACTGAGTGGTGGAGTCCTCATTCGTGGTACAGGTAAACTTGGGATTTGTGCGGTCGTAAAACCCAAAGTTATCTTCACTTGACACGGAGCTAACGGTTGGATCAAACTGGCAACCCTTACTGGCGCTGTCGATGTGCAGAAAGTACGTGCCGACAACCTGCCAAAATCTGGCTGTCTTGTGTATTCCAATGTGACCACGGATGTTCACAAGTTCGGTCTTCAGACA